CGTTTGCTGAAGGATCTTTGGTGTGAGTGTTGTTTTCTTGAAGTATCGTTGTCTCTGAATGAATTTCAAAACAAGTTCATCAGCGATCACTGAACAAGCTCAGTGTATGATCGCTGGAACTGAAATTACAGATACATAAATACATCGAAAGGAAAAAGGGATTATCAACAAATCAATGAGAGAGAGGATCAACATACTACTTATTAAATTTTATGTTTGAATTCGTGTAACTAATTGCGGATAAACATAATCAAATAGAGGGTAGACATCTCATTTTAAAATATAAAAAATTTAAAATATAATTAGAATAATTATTGAGTTCTAACATAATACTTTATTATTATCTTTATAAAAAAATATTATTAAAACTAAATTAAGTTACTTCGTTACGTTAAATTAAATTATAATAAAAATTTTGAATTAAAAAAATATACAAACAAGAACTTTTAAATAATTAATTTGATACTAATATTGATATATTTTTTTGTAAAATTTATATGATATTTTCAAATTTATATTTTATTCAGTGATATATATTATCGTTTTCTCAAAACCACATAAAATAGTTTATATCGACATGGATAAAAAAATAAAGCAAAACATTGAAATGAAAATGTGTCTCGGTCCATTGTACGAGTAATTTTTTAGTTTATAACAAATAGATAATTAAATAAAAGAGTAAATTACATTTTTTGTCCATGTGGTTTGTTGAAACTTCTTATTTTCGTCCCTATCATTTTAAAATTACAGTTTTCGTCCTCATGGTTTATAACTAATTATCGTTTTCATCCTTAAAATTTAAACTTTATTACTTTTTTTGTCCTTGTAGTTTGTAATTCATTTTTATTACTTCAAAACAGTGTTTAGCCTCAGGGACAAAACCATAAATGAATTGCAAACCATAAGAATGAAAACCATAATTTCAAAACCATAAATGAATTGCAAACCATAAGAATGAAAACCATAATTTAAATAGATTTAAATGCATGAAATAGCAACCTACTTTCATAAAAAATTTTATTATAGCATTCTACTTTTGTTTTTATTTATTACATCAATGTACTTTCAAATTATTTTTTATTACGGCATCGCACTTTAAAAAATTTACCCATTGTAACAATGGGTAATCTATTACCTTTTAAACCGGTTAAACCATTGACTTTTTTTTTTTGCTTGTGTGGCTTTAATAAGGTGATGTGGATGACACATCATTTTGATAACTTAATTAAAATAAAAACCTATTTCAAAACAGTAAAGGATGATAAACCATAAAAAATTGTAAATCATAAGAACGGAAATAACAAAGAATTACAGACCAAATGAATGAAAACCACGATTTTTAAGAAACTACAGGGATGAAAAGCGTGATTTGTAAAATATATAACTTGGGCCAACACAGCCCACAAATCACAAAAATAGTTACCAGGCCCAAGTAAACTGGATCCGAACTTATTCTCCTTCACCATCACCATTATTCCATATTTAATTGGAGTTTGAAGATTTTAAACACTTAAGTAATTGATCTAAGTCTTTTATTTTTTTTAATCAACGGTTGTGATTAATGAGCGGTTATAATCTAATAAAAAAAGAAAAATTAAATTTGTATTAAATGAAAGGAATTTTTTGAACAAACTGTTTTTGTTTTTGAAAGATAATTAATAAATATTATTTGATGATTTTTAATTTTTGTAAGATATTTATATTTATTTTTGGAAAATAATCAATAACAATATTTATATGATTTTTGTTTAAAAATAAAATCAGAAAGTGAAACAAATGATTTTTGTATAAAGTTGATAGATGAAACAAATGACGTGATAATATGATTTGATTTTGGTGTGATATATATATATATATATATATATATATGTTTCAAATACAACCTGTTGCATTTGTACAACCAATGCAACCCAATAAATTGAGATATTTATGGAAATGATGAGAGTTCATTTATTATGATTTGAATATTTATGAAAGATGAATATGGTTAATTAATTATGATCAATACTTTTTATGAGGAAACAATCAAAACTTCTATGAAATCACATATTAATCAATTCAAATGAACGGTTGAGATTGGGTTGTATTGGTTGCACAAATGTCAAGGGTTGTATAATAACCGACCTATATATATATAAATATAATATATAAATATAGATATGGAAATGGAAGGAAAGGTATAAAAAAGGAAAGAGGAAAAGAAGTAAACTTTAGAGAAGGGAAAAGCATTGAAAAAGTAGGAATGTTTCTGGAACTCCATGCTCTTCCCTCCCTTCATTCATCTCAAGAATCTTGAATGCAATTGCAATGGCAATGGCATTCCCCTACACCAAGCATCCCATTTCTACATAACCCTCCCTTCTTCTTCTTCCATTTTCTAACTCATCATCCACCATGCCTATGCCTCTCTCTTCTTCTTCTTCTTCTCATCCTCTCCCCCTCCCCCTCCTCCTCCTTCTCGTTATCGCCTTTTCTAACGGTACAACGCTCGAATCATACCCTACTTTCCGTTTTATACAAAACACGCTTTTAAACGTTCACGGTGCATGTTGCGGTTTGCATTTTCATCAAACTGTACTTTGCGTTGTGGTTTGCTGTTTGGCCCTAAACCACACTGCAAACACCTCTGGTTTTAAAATATAATATGTTTAAGACTGGTTCTCGTATGATTATGTCCCTGTATAATTACTACGTCATATATTTCTAAATTTGTCGGTTTTTGTTTTTTCGCAGTTTGGATAGCGGCTGCATTCACGGGTACATATGGAGTGAATTACGGAAGGATAGCGGATAACATCCCGTCTCCGGAAAGCGTAGTGACCCTAATGAAGGCGGCCAAGATTAAGAACACTCGGATCTATGATGCAGACCACGACGTTCTCAAGGCGTTTAAAGGGTCCGGAATCGAGATCATTATCGGGTTAGGGAACGGGTTGTTGAAAGATATTGGCGCGAGTGAGGATCGAGCCATGGATTGGGTGAAACAAAACGTGGAACCGTTTGTACCCGGGACTCGTATCCGTGGGATTGCGGTTGGGAACGAGGTGTTAGGTGGCGGTGATCAAGGACTCTGGGAGGTGTTGCTACCGGCGGTGAAAAATGTCCATAGTGCCCTTGACAAGCTTCACCTAGCCGATGACGTTGAGGTTTCGAGCCCGCATTCCGCCGGTGTGTTCGCTAGCTCGTTCCCACCATCCGCCGGTGCGTTTAAAGAGACCTTAGTTCCATATATGAAGCCGCTTCTCGAGTTCTTCTCGCAAATCAAGTCACCTTTCTATATAAACACGTACCCTTTTCTTGCATACATTAGTGATCCCGAACATATTGATATCAATTACGCGATCTTTAAGAAGAATCCCGGGATATACGATGAGAAAACTAAACTACATTATGATAACATGTTCGAGGCCCAGATCGATGCAACCTACGCTGCTTTAGAAAAAGCCGGATTTGGAAAGACGGAGGTTATAGTATCCGAAACCGGCTGGGCTTCGAAGGGGGATCCAAATGAAGCGGGGGCCACGGTTAGTAACGCGAGAACCTACAATCTGAACTTACGTAAAAGACTCCTTAAGAAGAAGGGTACCCCTTACAGACCGAAAAAGGTAGTCAAAGCTTATGTGTTCGCTATGTTTAACGAGAACCTAAAACCTGGACCAACTTCAGAAAGAAACTTTGGGCTGTTCAAAGCCGATGGCAGCATTTCTTATGACATTGGATTTACGGGACTCGTTCCCTCTTCAGCAACATCCCTTTCCTCTTTGAAGGTACTCAGAATCCAACCATTCTAACATATTTATCAAAACAGATATTTAGTCGATGCTTAATCTAGACTGAAGGGTAAAATAGTCATTTATGTCATTCAGACTGTTTATCTGATTTACTTGAAACTGCTTTTTGTAGGGCATTGGGTCTTCATACCTGTTGATGTATGCAGCATGTGCGGCGGCTTTGGTTATGATTATAGCTTCATGACAACCTAAAAACAGCTTCCTGTGATCGAACCAGTCTCCTAATTCTACAACATATCGGAACAGATACCTTCATGGTGTTAACTTTGTAGATTATACATACATACATATACATACATATATATACATATACACACATAGAGTCTTATTTGTATATTTGTATTCGGTTCAGAAATTCTTTGAGAATGAGAAATACCATCATGCAATATAGCAATCTTCTTCAGATATTATAACTCTGTTTTCAGTCTCATATATTCTGACTTCTATGTCAAAGTTATACAATGTATACAAACCATGTGATTCTTACAAACCTAATCTCAACCATTGCTTCTGCTTATTTTGGAATTTAGAGACGGTTACAAAATGCGGTTGCGAGTAAATTTAGGAACCGATTTGATCCACACTGTTGATTATCTACATGTATGGTTGAGATCCGTTTGTAGAGTTTGTAAAAATTACATGGTTTTGTAAAATAAACCTTCCCTATATGTAATATATATATATATATATATATATATATATATATATATGCAAGGAACAATTATATTTCATTCAACACAGAATCATACAGATGGTTAAAATGGTAAGTTTCTGTCATTCAGGCTATCTATATCCATACGGAACACTAACCAAACAACATTTTTTCATTCAGAACTAAATCATTCTAACCATTTATTCATTCTCAATCAAATCATTCGGTATCTACCAAACAACCCCTAATACAAGCATTATCAGTTGTTTGTTTGGTTTTCCATTAAGTTTTGTATGGATGTTGTTAGTGTGGATTAATTTGTCTGTATAGATTGAGAAGATTTTTTCATAAATGGAAGGAGTATAATTTTTTAATTGGGAGGGATAGGTTTGAATTATTTTTTTGCTTTCTGCTTAAAGCTCCTCCTAGAAAGCATACTGAATAAGTCACTTTCTATATCATAAAGTCACAAGCAAACAATCATGTATAGTTAACCAAATAAGTTATGAGTCCCATTAAGCTGTCAACAAAAAGGCCCTTAGCCAACAATGACACTACTTATTATGGTCAGATATGGAACAGAACATGGTATTTAACTATTTACGCAATGATATCTACAAAATTCGCCTAAAAAGAATTTATTATGCAATCAATACCATATAGTTGCATAATTACTCAAAATAGATATTTATATTAATCACAAAGAGGGTGAAAATAGCAGCAACAGCCAGCATTTGAAGTGGTATAGAATACTTTATACACTATCTTTCACAAAGAAAGTTTATATCTAATCAAGCACCGAAATCCGTCACTAAGCATGGGTGAAAAACGAAACTAATTACGATTAAGGTTGAAAGAGTTTATCACCGCATTTGCATTTCCATGAAAGGAGATAGTAGCAATCGTCTTCACGGTGAGAAGATTGATCTCTGTAATCAGTCATCCGATGGTGTGGAGGGATAACCAGAGTGGCTCGGCATGGTGTACAATTCATGCACTTGTTTACACACCCTGGTGGCCTTGATCCCAATGTTTTCTTCTGTTGTTGCATTCGGGAAATCCAATTATCGGCTGCCAATTAATGCAAATTTGTATCAGAAAAAGGCTAGAAAAATCGAAAGATCAAAAACCCATTTGGGGTTTTGTAACCCTTCATCAACTGCCAATTAATCCAGATTTCACATCATATAAAAGTACTTGCTCAAAGAAAGAACAACTATCATCATGATTCAATATGCATGATTAGAATCAATATAACAAGAAAATGACTATAAAATCAAAACCAGTTTTGGGATTTCTGATGAGTTTAGAGTTCTGATACCCCTTCATCAACTGCCAACCATCTAAATTTTATAAAATAAAAGAATAACCATAATCATTATGAACTGTTATTGCATAACAAGAAAGAGGTTGAAATATCAAAAACCCAATTGGGATTACATCAAGATTTCATTAGTTCACAAAATTTTGATAAACTTCATCAACTGCGAGTTAATTCAGATTTCAAATCAGATAAAAAGGCTTGCACAAGAAAAAAATTGGCTATCATCATCAAGATGCAACATTAGAATCAACATAACAAAAATGACTATAAAATCAAAAACCAGATTTGGGATTTCTTATAAGTGTAGAGTTTTGATACCCCTTCATCAACTGCCAACTCATCCAAATTTGTATCAAATAAACACACTTACACAGAGAAGAATTAACCATCATCATCATGCATTATTAGAATCAATATAACAAGAAAAAGGTTGAAAAATCAAAAAACCCATTTCGGATTTCATCTAGATTTGATTAGTTCACAATTTTGATAAACCTTCAACAACTGTCAATTAATTCAAAAAAAAAATTCTTTCTTTCCCAGTGTCGAGAAGAATAAGCAGCTATTTTATCCACTATAGTTCGACAAGGAAGGTCTTTCAAACTAAACTGCCTCCCGGTCGCCTCACCAACGCCTTCTCTCCCTAACTTGGTGAAAGGAATTCCAGCCCATAAAATTGAGTCAAGTCTATGGATAGGTCTCATCAGAGGTTCTGGCTGGTATTGCTCAAACCAGATAAAAAGATTTGTACAAAAGAAAATTTGACCATCATCATTATCATGCATTATTAGAATCAATATAACAAGAAAAAGCTTGAAAAATCAAAAACCCATTTGGGATTTCATCTAGATTTGATTAGTTCACAAATATGAAAAATCTTTAATTCAAATTTCAAATCAGATAAAAAGATTTGCACAAGAGAAAATTTGACTATCATCATCATGCATAGTTAGAATCAACAAAACAAGAAATTGACTAGAAAATCAAAACCCAATTGGGATTCATATACATTCAATAAGTTGTAGAATTTTGAAACTGGGTTTTCTATGTTACCTGTAAGGGAAGGTGAGATTGTGAGAGAAAAGAGAAGAAAGACTGTGATAAGCACCCTCAAACCAAAAGAGTAGGGTCTTGTAGGTGCCATTAGGAGTTAAACAACTTGGAAGCTTTTAACACTGATATAAATAGAAGATGTAGAAGATGATGGAGACTTGTCAGTAATTAATGATACTTCTCTTGCACACAATATGTTAAGGAAACCTTGGAATTTAGAAGGGAAGTAAATGAGATAGATGTTCAGAAGGATTGGGATACTATTTGGAAGGAGAAGAGCACAAGAAAAATAGCATACATGTTTAACATAAGAGGCCAAATGGCCAATATATGTTTGGAGAAGAAGGGACAGGTTTGCTGATGTGAAGGGCTTTTATGCCAATCAAATTTAATTAACTATAGGCTCAAATTGAATTCTAATCCACTGTTCTTTCTTCCTACTTTTGGGAAAATGTTGTACCAACTTTGATCTGACTAAATTTTCCTTTTTAAATCTTGAGCTACTGTTTCTCGAATCACCAACATTATCCTTGTGATCTGGGGCAAGCAGAAATCATTAAAGAAATATCTAATTTTCAATTATTTTCTTTGGTCATGGTCAAACTATATATTGTTGAAATGCTGCATTTAATACTGTACCATAGTCTTTCTTGATTCTTTAGCAAGTATTTAATATCATCTGGTCCCAAAAGCATACTACAATCTGGCAGTTGAGCTACTTCAGGTCCAAAAAGATTCACATAACCAACCAAATTTTGTTTTCTGGTTCTTTGGAAATCGAAAATTAAGATTAATCACACATTGAAGATATAAAAGGGGAAATTTTCAGAGCAAAGAATCAGATTCTTACATGGATTGTATGAGGCTCCAAAACGGATACAGGATACTAGCCTGTAATTAAAGTACAGATAACCGAAATTAACTTTGTCTGATCTGGGTTCATAGACTTGAAAACTCGCACAGTGATTTCATCAAACAGTTGATGTGCACAATCTTGTCCTTGTCTTTTGGTCGTTTTGTTTTTAACCTTTTCTCCTTCCTGATGCTTCGAATTTCTCCAATTAAACTCATACGCTGAAAACAATTATTAAAAGCTAAAAAACCATCACCACCAACTCGTTGCCGAATATTTACCATTTTGTCACTTTGTGTACACTGTTCACGTACGTAAATGGAAGAAATCTTTCAGAGACCAACAAAAATCCAACGGCACTCATCCATTTCTCCACTGCTACTACTTTGCTTTTTGAACAGTCCCCTTTAGAAAAAAGAAAAAAGAAAAAAAAAACTAACGGCCCGTAATTCACTTTACTATATGAAGTGGGGTCTCTGTTGAACAATACACGTCTTCTTCCATTGATTAGACCTTGACCTTCCATGTACGAAAGAAGGCACACATAATTGTGATGTTTTCTGTTCATATCGTGCGGAAAAACGTCATGAATCCAGCAAAAAACAAGTACAGATAACGGAAAAATGGCATACGATTCGTAGGATTTCTGGATAGTTCGTGTATGATTTCATGAATCATAGCGAGAGAAGAGAATTGGAGGTGAGAAAAAAAAAGGGAAGAGGCATGTTACTTACAGAGATGGTACGTGTTCGGGTCCACCAGCCATGGTGAAGACTCAATCAAGTACACCTGCTGGTTTTCGCCACGAGATTTGAATTATATCTGTGGTAGAGTCGTCAGAACTGCTTTATTTGCTTTTATATACTTGATAATGTTGGTAGGGATTTGGAAGGACCACTTGAAATCAGAGGATCAGTGGCTCTGGTTCTTTTTCCCTTTTTCTTTTAACCCTAGAAATCTTACAGAGAATCAGAGGAAGAAGATGAAGTCATTTGTGGAATGCCAACAATATATTTAAGTCACAAAACTGCAATAAATGCTAATATTTAAGCAAGGTTTTCGTATTTATAATTGCTGAAAGGTTTGGTACAGAATGATTAAGTAGTCATAATGATTAAGAGGTTTTTATGATATAATGCAAAATGAAATATAATTATTTGGTAATTGTTTACAATGAAATTAGGGTGCTGAATGGTTAAGTGAGGCTCAGGATGCAAAATCATTCAGAGGATTTTAGAACCATTAAGAAGCACACTTTTTTTTACCAAACAAGATTCTTCACTTAACGATTTAGAGGCTACCTCTTAATGCAAGTATTAAGGGGTAAACAAACAACCCCATGGTCTGCAAGTACAATGATCAAATCTGTAAATTAGATAAAGATGTGTAAGTAGCTGTCACTTACAGAAGTTTTGGGACTAATTTATAGATTTTAATCTCTTTACTTGCGGACGATGTTTAGAAACTTCTTATTTTTACATTTTGATATCTGTAAAAGTTGAGGAGTTTGCTACCTGTGGAGATAACGGCATTTTTGAAATATTGTAAGAGAAATGACTAAAAGATGAATTCATAACGTGAAAATGGTATTTCTATTAATTTCCTTTTAAATGGTGTAAGGTGTAGGGATGGACCTCAGGGAGTTTTGTGGTGGCATGTGCCACCGTTACGTTCCTCCGTCGTGGTGTAAAAAAGTAAAAGGACGTGAAAAGTGTTATCATATCAATTTGTTTTGTGTCACCGTATATATTTTGAAATTATAATGGGGACACAAGTATTTTTAGGTGGAGTCGGTTTGCAAGGCTTTTCTTTCATCTACGACCCACTCGAATCCCTTTATAATCATTTTCTTAGTTTTTCGCTTTTAATTTCAGATTTATTATGTTTTCGAAATCCAATAAAGACTTGAATACAATACCTCACATATGAAAAGTAATAAATAAACCAACAGACCAATGATTATTTTGTGAAAACTATCTCTATATTTGTTTCTTATAGTCAAATGGTGTCATCATTTGGAAAAAAAAAATGGATCCATCCCTCGTGAGGAGGTGTGGCGTGTTGGGAAGGCCAAGTCTCAAGTCTTGGGAATCATGACGAGGTCACAACGTTTTTAAAGGTGTGATTTGTGACGGCAAATATCTATCACATATGATATTATATATAAAAACATATGTTTTTTTTATTATTATTTAATAAGTCAATGATAATAAACAATTTAAATTAAGTTACGTATCAAAAACTAACAAATAATTGAATGAAATATTAAAAAGGCAAGAAAAACTAGATACAGGTTGCTAAAACCGTGCATTAAGCCATGGTGTGAGCCACGACACACCATGACGGTTGTTGCGACAAGCTTTTAAGAGCAACGTACTTAAGTCACAAAGTGCAATAAATGAATAGTCAATTAACAATCTACTTTTAAGTACATATTTGGTTCTTGTAGTTTATTCGGTATCTTGGTTTGCGTCCCTTGAACGCAGAAATTACGCTCATGGTTATTATGGTTTATGATTTGTTTTAGATTAAGATGACGTTTGTTTTTTTTTTAAAATGTGTTGAAGTTTGAAGTCTTATTTCACTTTTGATTGATAAAAGGTGGGGCTGAAGTCTGAAGTTTGAATCAATAAGATTGTTTGTTTTTGTAAACTGATAAATATCTGAATTTGTTTAAATTGTCTATATTACCCAATAGAAAATTATAATGTTGAATTTATAGATAAATTTATAAAAATTAACATATTTATCATCATCATTATGAAATTTATATCTAAATTATATAATTAACATTCATTTAAACGAAAATATATTTTTAACGGTATTTAAAACATTTAGATTATATTAAAATACATCAATTAAGAGATGTGATGATCGATTTGGTAAGGATCGATTGAAATAAATGATCAATTAAGGTTAACCGATTGAGAAACATTGTTGCTAAGAGTTTGGAGAACAATATGAGGCAAATAATATTTCAAGATCGAGATTCAAGACGTATTATATGACATATCACATATAATAATACTCAGTAGCGGGAATCCAACTTAACACTACTTCTAAACTTTTTTTTAATAAAATATTAATTATATAAAATAAATTAATTAATTATAATCATAATACTGGACGGGCGAGCCTGTCCAAATTTTTCCATCACCCGAGTTGGCCCATTAATTTGAGCTCTCCCACCGACGCCCGCCCATATTTTTTTAACAGTCGTCCAAGCGTGCTTTTCTAAAAGGCTAGACTAGCTGGGTCTAACGGCCCGTACCCCGTGAACAACTGTAAAAAGAACCCTTCATTTGAGTCATTGCCTTGGGTCTAGCGGGCCGTATCGTCCATGAACAGCTCTGAAAAGAACCCTTGATTCGAGCCCTATTCGCTTACTTGGAAAGAACCCGACTCAGTCAAAGAAGAAGCAACATAAATCATGCATGATGGGGAAGTCAAGTGGTAGAAGGGTGGAGTGACAAAGGTGACGACGACCGAAGGAGCAGAAACAACAAGAAGAACAAGCGGGATAGAGCGAGGGAGGGAGGAGGTTTGGCGTTAGCGCGAGAGAAAGGAAGTCGAGATTAGAATGACAAAATTGTCATGACGTAAGGTCAGATCATCGTAGCTAAATCCTAGAAAGACTTAGTTTTCAATAAAGGTTCTAAAATGAGATACTAACCTGAAATTCCAAAGGTCTAATGGAGGAAAAACAAAAGGCTTATTGGACAAGCATGACTTTAGCAGGTAACACGTTAACAGGTTGCCTAAGTGACGTTTCCACATCAGAATTTCACAAGTAACACGTTAACAACTTTCGAAACCTACTTTTTATGAGTTTAATATTCATAAAGTAGCATTTCAACAAGTATCAGTTTCATTAAAGTTCAATTATACACAAACTAAAGAGTCGATTGACGAACACGAACACAAAGATCAAGAAAACACAAGGCAAGAAATGAACTCCATTAATTAGTCACGAACCCATCCTCGAAGAAAATTGTGTGGACTTTCTTCCTCTTCTCCCCGGTTTTCACAGTCGAATCGTTGACGTTGTCGGAAAACCGTACGTGTTTTCTGTTCCGTGCGTCCTTCTTCCCAGACGACAGACAAGACCGCAGCACCAATCCCGAGTTGGGAGGGACAGAATCTTGATTTCTGGTCATGTTTTCAAGAAAAGTAGGAGAGAAGAAGAGTAAGATGATGGTACCTGCAATGGCTGTTGCAAAGGCTGAACTCCAAAGAGATGACATTGATTGGGTTTGGGATTATATTATATGAAATGAGGAGAATGTAGTGGTTGAGAATGGGTGGGTAAGTTGTTGATCGACTCCAACTAGAGTTTGTGTATTTTAGTTGGGTTTTAATTCTATATTTGTGAAGCATGTAATGTAATGTGGGATGTGGGCACTGTTATTGTATGAAAATGGGTGATTGGATTGAGGCATTTCAAATCAACCAACTTTGGAGAATCCAGAGCTGGACTCGTTTGCCGAATCTTTGTACAGTGTTCTTGAGTAGTGTATGGACAAGGTTCTATGAATGAGACATATATATATATATATATATATATATATATAAATATATATACATATAGGGTTGGGTTCACGTGAGACCAGCCTGTTTTCGTGAGATCACATTTTTACACGTAAACTTCACAGCAAAAACACTGTAAAGTTTAAAAAAAGTCGAACCTTCACAACAAAAACACTGTGAAGGTTAAAAAAAGTCACCTTCACAGCATTTTGCTGTGAAGTTTCAAGTGTAAAAAGCTGGTCTCACGAAAACAGGCTGGTCTCACATGATCCCAAGTCTATATATATATATATATATATATATGGTTGGGTTCACATGAGACAAAAGGGTTTTTCGTGAAACCCATAAGACTAATTTATGTTCATTGATTAACTTTATAAGCTAATAATCTAGTAGACTAAAGTTGCACGGTGACAATTTTTGATTATTGAGAAGTCTCGTGGCAATTTTGTGATTATGAATGTTCAGATTGTAGATCTAATCTAAGGGTTGAGAATTGGTCTTACAGGTCTTACGAAAAACCATTGGTCTCACATGATCCCAAGTCTCTCTCTCTCTCTCTCTCTCTCTCTCTATATATATATATATATATAAGTATAGGAAGTTTAAACGAGAACAATAATCAAATAAAGGACATGAAAACGACATAATTACATACAAAATTACATATGGTTTTACACCAAGGGTCAATGCAAGGGTGTGCAAACGACTTGGCTTACGGCAGGAGATCATATAAACCTGACTCTCTCTCTCTCTCTCTCTCTCTCTCTCTCTATATATATATATATATATGGATGTAATCAAATGTGAACCTCATGCAGGGGTAGACCTACATAAAAAGATACGAGGACACGAGTCATCGCTTTATGCTTCCATTGTTAAGGGAAAAAATTGCATTTATGAAGCGTGTCAACGTATCGTTTTGCTAGGTGCCACCATATAGTTTTTGGAACTATTAACATAAGACTTCAGTAGCAGAGATGATAAGCGTTCTACCTTTGTACCAAAGGCATAGATTCGAGTTCCAGTATTCGTAAACTTGTTTTTTAGTTTAAACAAGGAACCAACCAACAAATTTATACTAATATTGTGAAATTTTTCGTTAGATATTCTTTCATAGTCAAATTCCGTTACCAATTAAAAAAAATTGGGTCCACCTCTAACCTCATATATTGTGATAACCATGAGAATTTTTGCCTTGAATCATTGTTTCACATAATTATTTTTCCCATCTAAGGTTAGTATTGAAGTATTGATTAACGTATATTTTGTTTCACAATGTGCTTGTTTCATATGAATTCAGTTTACAATTCGAAACTTTTTTACGTATGTTTTTTGTTTTATAAACATGTCAAAAAGTTTCACGTTGTGAGATAAATATATGTTAATCATTATCCTAAATCTTAGTGTCAGATAATTTTTTTTTGAAATAACACATAATATACTGATTTTTAGTTCTATGATTCTCAAATGATTATGACTATAAAGAGAGATAATCAGATGAGGTAGGCCTTTAGTCAACCAACCAAACCTGCAGGCACATAAAATTCCACTCTGATCAACAACATGGAGGTATAATTAAGTGGTTGGCAGATGCCTCCCAACCATAACCATTAAAGGGTGGAATCGAGTTGGCCCACATATATATATATATACATAAAAGATGATGAAAAACATAAAATAAGTAAATCATATGTGATTTTGCATTGAAATCAAATATAATAACAGAATATGGTTGACAAAAAGTGAGCTTACACCAAAGACGTACAAATTATATGTAATTTTACACGTGATTAAAAGATGGAATCAGAGTTTCCTTCAGTTAACCCACATATACATACGTATACAACGGATGAAACGAGAAAAAGACTAAAATATGAAAACACAAAAACGGGTAAATCACATGTGAATTTGTATTGAAATCACATGCGATTGCAGAATACGGTCAATGCAAAAAGGGTGAGCTTGTGGCGAAAGTTGCGTGAATCACATATAATTTGGCGAATCACATAATTTGGCTGTTCTCATGTTCTCTTATTTGGTCACCGATCTCATTTAAAACCGACTCTATATATATTGACATATACAGATATATAAAGAGTTTCAAATAAAAATACAAAGAAATTGCATTTGTTCGTTAGTACACAAAGTGTACATATCTTAACACATTTATTAAACATAGAAAAAAGCCACTTAATTATTCTTAAGTCATAATCACTAGTAATGTAAGCAAACAAGAGTTATAACTTTATAAAACCAAACCACCCATTACAGTATATCCACACGGAGGTGGATTGTAACTAGTTAGATGTATGCAAACCTGACCTCTACCCTCAAAGAGTAAAACAGTTATTTATCAGAAGTGATGCAAAATAGGTGAACTGACGTACCTTCTTAGGTAGTTAGAATTGAAGGAAGGTAATCTGACTTCACGCCAAGAATGCGTGCATTTGTGTCTGGGAAAAACTCGGTTCCCGGCAGTTCGGTCACATTCCCGTCACTAGTAACACCGATGGGGTATCGAAGCAAGTGACCAGGAAGATCGGTTTCGAGATTCTCACTGGCAAACAGATCCCAGTATTTGTCAGCAATTTGGTTCACCCGTTTCACGCATTCGGTGCTCTCTGGGTGCTGGAAGCTGTCGTCAAGCATTCCGAGATGTTCATACCATAACGCCATACGAAATCCGTGGACCTCGCCCCTTGCAGGTGTTCGGGTAGCGAGATGATGAGGTTGGTAAGCTCCCATGGCTATCTCGGAATCTCGTGCACCGTCCATTGATCGTTGGTTGATGTTGGCAGATCCAACTATTATGTATTCGTCATCAACTGCAATATGATAGATAGTATAGTATTAGGACTTGTTTACTTAATAGGACTATTCAGTCAGCTATATATGACTTTTTGCTAGTGGCTTGATGATATAGATAGTGGCTTATTCAGTAGATACTAGGAGGAGATTTATGCAAAAAACCTAGTTTTTCCAAACCTTCCCCACCCAATGAAAAAACATGCTCCTTCCATTTATGAAAAAACTTTCTCAAACAAAAACCTTCCATATACACACATTAATTCACACATACAAGACTTAATAGAAAACCAACCAAACAGCACCCTGTTTGGCAACTCTGACTTATTTTTCAGCTGCGTTTAAGGATGCACAAAAAGCTCAAGTCCAAAGGCCAAAAAGCCCAGTCCTAGTAAGCCGAAGCCCAGACCCGGTTTGGAGCCAATGAGGCTAACTTTTTTTAGGCCCAGTTAAATCTTAAATCCCAGCTCGAGAATCCCGACTAATCCCGAAAAAGCCCAATTGGCCCTCTTTCGACTCCAAAGTCTGTCCTGCTCAAAAAAACCCGGGCTTTTCTTTGCTAACTAAAAAGCGGGCTTGGAAGGCCTAGGTCTTGTGCATGTTGGAACAAAAATTAGATGCTAAATATAAGATTTTCACGCTAGAAACGGTAAAAAAAGAAAAGAAAAAAGACCGGTATGCGCGGCTTACCGATCATCATTTTGGCATGAACGTAGATCATGAAGCGTCGGGCTTCCTGAGCTTTGTGGTAATTAGAATCTGTTTCAGGTGCTTCCGAAGGTTCATACTCGCCACTCGTCTTCGCCTCTCGATTTCCGAGGCAAAAGAAAGTGAGATAATCTCTCGGGTCATCATCGAGACCGTTATCTTGTAGAGCCCGAATGATATCTTTGTACATCATCTCCATCGTCCTCCTTTGCCAATCGAGTATTGCCTGAACAGAAGCGCTCTCTGGGATCCCTTCAGGCCACATAGGAACAACAACGTAGACGCTAAACTTTTCTCCGGCATTAATCTTACTAACGATCTTTAATGAAAGCTCTTTCGGGATCAAGTGCAATGCACCAACATCCTCGACCTTAATATCATCGCATTCCCAACCGAAAGAACTTCCAAGAAAATACTGGTTTTCGATATAAATGAAGTTCTTTGCTCGCCGGATGGCATGGATATAAGCATCCTGAATACTTCGGTCAATTATGTTATCTTTCCCGCTAACAAGCCCTGACTTCGCCGCCTCTTCTGGTGTGTCCGGGAACCCAAAAGCCGCTCCACCATCGATGGACCGAAACAGCTGAACATTCCATGAATCTTGGTCGTCAGAAAACATGACCGGAGAAGGCGGGATTAGAATGTCGTCAAGTTCTCTAAAGTTAACCAATACGTCTTTCCCGCCTTGCTTTTTCCATCTCTGCTCGAAATTAAACAACACATCCCAAGCAATCGGTCCTTCAAGCCGCGAGTGGATGTCATGCCACGGCTCCCGTGGTCCGCCTTTAGTTATGGCGGCCTCGGCGTAGTTCGGCTGGTGGAAATCATCATGATGAACAGTGTCCAATGTTCGGAAAAGCGAATGGAACGGAGAATCGTATCGACCATCGCAGAGATCAAGTCCGCCAACGAAACTCACCACCCTCCGTCTTTCGGATCCCTCATTTGGCATCTCGGAATCAACCACTATGATCTTCTGGTGATGAGTGAACATGGTGGATATCTGGAGATCCTGAATGAAACTTCCACCATCATCAGGATTCCTTGGGCATAAATTGCAGTGAACATCACAATCTTGAAAAAAGTTTTCAGTATCTTCATCATGGGTAGCCATCAATCCATCTTTTTTCAATACATCCACGGACGTCCGGTCATCCCAAACCAACATAAGAACCTTAACACCTTCACTTGCTTTCTTTTTCAACAACTCACCAAGTGTCAAATCTCCTCCAGGCTTCTGCCTTCTTGAATCCCTTATTAAAGAGATCTCAGTATAAACAGACCATCCAGTAATATAAATGAAGTGTTTTGCATTACTAATTGCATCAAATACATCTTCCCAACATCGACTGGGTTCGTAATTCTTGCCACCCGAAAGAGCTATGTTCGGGATGAAATTATCGGGAACGTGAGCATCTTGATACAACGAAACCCGACAACCTTGTCTTTGAGAAAAGAACGTATATGGGACTCCCGGATACTTCGAACTCTTAATGCCACGAGCCCAGTTACGATCTCGAGTAACATCGAAAAACTGTAGTTTAACATGGATCTTCGAACCGGATTCCACAGGGTTTTTGTCCTCATCCAAGATCTCAACCCATCTATCTACTTCTTCTCCTTCTAACAGATCTTCAACAGGAATGTAAGCTCTTCCAATTAAGGTTGCACCAATCGGATTGTCATCTTTAACGGTGAAGATTACATTAGAAGCTGAATGAGCACAATAAATGTGGAAAGATTCATCCCATTTTGGGTTTTCAGGCTCGTTTTCAATAATTCTAGTTCGTCCTACTCTGCATTTCTCTAGATCAATTGTTGCATATATTTTTGGAGTTCCATCCCCCAAACCAACAGTCTCCTCTATGTTATCCATAAGCTGCAAGAAGAAGAATGCATCCTTGAGAAACCACATCTTACAAAAGCCTAAATATCATGTTACCTTCAAGGTTACAAATTGCAGACTTAACTAAAAAGATGCTTAATTCACACACTGAAACAAAATATCTCCCAAATCGCATGTCACTTCACTGTCTCATCAAATACATAAAGACATCATTATTTCATTTAATATAAATGTATTAGATTTATGTTCTTGATGATGCGTTTTCACGTGATTGATGGATATGAAAGAGTGAGATTTAGAGACATGATATTATTATTCGTCATAACAAAGAATAATCATTACTCTACAGTGATTAGAGCATCTCCGATACAAGTTTCTTAATAAGCGAAAAGTGAAGTTTCCCAACACCGTAGAGAGTTCTTATAAGTACCTCACTCCCTTTGAATTCTTATATAAAAACCTTGTTTCTTACCATAAGTTTGTGTGAAGTGACAATTTGCTAGTTTTTTTTAAATATATTTTCTTAACTCTATAATTATTACCTAGTTGTGTACCCACGCAATGCGGCGGGAGCCATGAATTTTAACGATTTTGAAGTTCCACTGGTTTTATA